CCTGCAGCATTACCAACTAACAGGTGTGTTTCTGTCACACAGTGATGTTTGTCCATGCTTCTCTGAGGCTCCGAAACATCAAGAACAAGTTTGAGAACAAGATGGAAGGAATAGGCTTGAAGAAGACCCCGATGGGCATCATACTGGATGCTCTAGAACAGCAAGAGGATAGTATCAACAAACTGGCTGACTACATATCCAAAGTGAAGGAATAAGCAGCTGCAACGTGGCATTTTTACCTATTGCAGGAGAGTAGTTGCTATTTACTATTGTTCAAGCTTGCTTTCAGTTTGTGTACAAAATGGGAAATGTACCTGGCACAGATTAGTAGTTGCAGGATACAGGTATTCCAGGTCTTCAGTGCTCCTCTAAGAACATAAGAGCAGCAACTTTTTTTCTATTGTATAGCAAAATGTTCTGGTGTTTACACAAATACATACTAACTCCAGTGTGTTTGCTTGTCTCTTCTTCTGGGGGTAGAAGGGTAAGGGATGGAAACCTATGGAATAGTCTTTCAGACTGTTGTGCAGCAGATTTGTCTGTTAGTAATACCCCTTTTGTCTCACTTTAGGCAGTTTCAGGCTGGCAGTGTTCAAGGTGACCTGGCATGCATCAAAAGCAGGTATCTCCTGCATCCTCCAGATCTCTCACTTGACTGGTCTGTATGAGACCACATTGCTAGCTTAACTGGCAAGCAGTAAGACTGTGCAATACTTGTCATGAATGTGGGTTCCTCTCCTTGCCTCACACTCCTCCTTTAGCAGCTGGAGAACAGTCTAAGTAGATCTAAGCATGAAGGATATATTTGGCAGTGTGCCTCTCCCAGTTCCAGTAAAATGCACCTTTCTTTTTTTTCCAATAATTGTGATCTATAGAAGCTGCTCCCCTCTGCAGGAAAGCCAGCCTTCCTTGCATGCCAGCTAAACTGGTCAGGCACGGAAGGGAAAAAAACAACTATCCTTAGATAAGTTGGATGGCCTAGGTTTCTACCCTACTGGTCTTCTTCAGTAATGCTACTTTAGGACTTAACTTTTCTGCTTTAGTCTGTAGAGGTGTTTAGTAGATGGAGGTGTATGTGTGTTCTCCAGCATGGGTCGTTTTCTTCCTTTCTTAACCAGAATGCAAAGCTACAAATAAAACATGCATCTCTCTGACTCTCTACTTCTGACACTCTTCAAAGGAATAAACTGGATTTCAGGTTTACATGTAAAAGCAATAAATGTCAAGATCAGTTTTTGAAAACCCATTCCAAATTCATGAAGATACTTGCCTGTAACAACTCCTGGAAGTGATGTGTAGGATTCTTTTATATGTATTTTAAATTAACTGCCAACTCTGATAGAATTACCTTGATAACAGGAGCTTACCAACAATAGAGGGGGAAAAAAATTGTCCAGGTGACACTTCATTTCAAACATTCTTGCATTTCTCTTTTCTAACAAAGTAATTTAAAAAAAAGCACGGATCCTTAAAGTCAAAGCTTTTATGTAACTTATGCTGTTTTCATCGTGAACTGTATAGAAATCTGAACATGTCATTCCATTTAAGTGTTAAAGTGATCAGTATTTACTGAAAAGGTCTATATAGCCCAGCTGAAGAGTTAATCACCTGTTCCTCACTTGTAGTGCATGGTCTTTGTTTTTTGAGAACTCTTTCCACACTTAAAAAATGTAGTAGCCTATGACTTCATCATGACTGTACGATTTTAAAAACTGCACAGTTAAGAAAAATAAATTCTAATGGTGATGGCTGAGTGAATTTATTTCAGGTTGGGAAAGGTGTTTGGAAATGTGGGCTTGTCTCTGTTTCTATGGTTGGTGGAACTCCCTGAAGTGGTGGTGGGAGATCTGCTGTCACCTGCAAGCCTGTGCTCATGATAAGCTGCTCTCAGAGCTTTCTGGGAGAGCTGCTGGTGGCACTTGGCACTTGCTGCCACAGTGGAGGTGAGAGCTTGGTTAAAAAATACAAGTTCCTTCCCTTTTCTGTTTTCTGTCCTTTACAGGAAGAGAGGGCTGCCTGAAATGGGTGCAACGAAAATGTTTCTTCCTTTCTTAATGTCTCTGCCATGCAGAAATAACTCTTCTCTCCCCCTTACATGATACTAAAAAACGACTTGCTGTGTTTTAGGTAAAACATCACTCAGGCTTCTCAAGAGTGTGGCATTACAGGCACAGACAGAAGGACAGCTGAGAAGGAGCTTTACAAGTTTTGAAGATGGAGATTTGAAAGAGAGCAGGTGATATATACAAAAAGAACAAGGATAAACAAAAAACTGAACTAATGATAGTGGAAACCACCTTGGATTCAAAGAGGTCTGGGACATTGCTGGTACTCCAGGACTAGTATAATAAATGTAGGGAGAGGGAGTGGAGTGGGACTGGGATTCAGCTGCCAGGGAAAGGTTGCTAAGAATTACAGGCAGGAGCAAGGAGAGACTCACCTGAAGGAAATCCTGCCAGGAGCTGCAAAGTTGTGCCTTTTGAACAAGTGCATCAGCCACACAAAGACAGGAGAGCTGCTTGTTGGCAAAGGGGAAAGCTCTGAGCTTTCCCTGTGCCTTACAGCTTTAAATGGCTTTCCTTAAAAAACAAACAAACAAACAACAAACCAAAAACAACTGGTCTCTTGTGGATGTCTTTCAGAAGAATTTGACTTACTTGTAGCTGCTTTACAAAGAAGGCTTGCAGCAAATAAAAAGATCTTAAAAGGGGAGGAGAAAAAAGTTGCACAAAAATATTAAGGAAAAACTAGGTTGTGTGTGTGCAGTTTTAACCCTATCATATCCAGCCTTGCCAGGGGGGTGATGTGCTCTTCACACCCCATACTAGGAGGAAAGATGAGTTTCTTCAACCCCTGGCAAAGAGATGGGTAAGGCTCATCCTCCTGCCACTTAGTGTGGAGAGAGACCTGAGATGGCATTTCAGTGGTCTCCAAGGTGGCTGTAACTAAGGACATGTAACATCATGGACAGATGAGAGCTGTGGGGAAAGACATTTGCAGCTCGAGACAGAGCATGGCATCTTTTCCATGCTGCTTGGGTACAACACCAACTAGACTGTGTCCTGAAATGGAGGCAGCTTGAAACCATCACTGAGGTGTTCACTATACCAGCCCAGTTGTTCTGCTCTGTGAGTGTCTCATTAGCCATGAAGTGCTGCACACATCTTAGAGAGAGAGCTTTATTTCATTTCTGTTTCCTCAGACTAAAAAATGAACCTGTATACATGGAAACCAAATACATTTCTCATGGACAAGAGAATAATAAAGGAGCATGTGTGTGAAAAGAAAGATAAGAGAAAGCACAGCATGTTCCTGCAGAATCTGGCAGCAGAAGGACAACGAGGAAGCAAAATAGTCTGCTGACAAACTAGAAAAACAAGGTTATTGATGCCTCTGAGAAAATACTCCCACAACAAATCATAGCCTCAAATCCACTTGGCAAACAGATGGCACTGGGGTTGTTTGATACCTGATGGAAACACTTAGCTCTGCCTTTTCCCATGCCAGCCGTTTTCACCACACTTAGAAGAGTGTGTATCACAAGCTTTGTTCCCAAAGAGTCACAGTTACCACCTGGGTTCTGCAGAAAACTTCTGCTGAAATAATTGTAGGCAAAACTTGAATTGTCTTTATTCCAAGTTGTTTTCTTCAGGTCAGTCTGGTCTCTCACTCCAGCTGCTTTGGCAATGGCACCTAGACAAGGACAGTAAGCATTAGCAGGAGGAAATTTCTCAGTTATGTTTTCCAAAGCAGTTTAGTTGAATAAATACCTTCAGAAAGTGTAAAAGCATCAAAAATAGAAGAGATGTGAGCTCCAAGGAACTGTGGTTGGGAATTGCTTTTGTTTGCAATTCCCTACTTGCTATTTGCAATTCTTAATGCCCAGGAAATCAATTTGCAAACAATGAGTCCCACCATGGAGCAAACCCACACAGCTCAACTCAAGCAGTATAACCTGATTTTAGAGATGAAGCCGAGGATATTGAGGCAAATAAGGAGTTACCATGATCACACAGGCAGGGGAGAATAAAACACCAATGCCCCAAATCCAAGCCCTTTGGCCCACTGACAGGGAACCAAAAGAACCCACACAAGAACAACCCCCAAATCCCAGCATGTGTTCGTTGCTTCACTTTTCCATGGGCTGTGACAGCAATTGTTATCTGGCCCATTTAGGATGGACCATGAATTGATTCCTCCACCCCAAGCCCCAGAGCTCTCATTTATAAAAACCTCTCAAGGATTCTGGGGGAATGGTTGCAGCCAAGTTGGACTGGCCAAGAGAAACCTCCCCAAAAATTGGTTTGAGGGCAGGACCATTACATTAAACCTGGAGCAGGGTCACTGCAGGACCCGCCTCTGCCAAAATTTTAGAACAAACCACTTTCTCAGGAGTTACTGAGGGAACAATTATTTCTGTGCAGGTATAAGTGAAAGCAAACATGGCCCACTACACAAAAGTGTCAATATTAAACAAAATATGAATCACAAACCAATACTTGACAGTTTTAAATTGCAAAGGATTTTGTGTCCTCTTCCTCTAGCCTTAGCAGCACAAGCAGATGCATCAACATCACTAGCTACAAATAGATCAGTCAGCTTTTAGTGTTCCTTAAATAATGGTGCAATGCAAAAAAATACAACGTTTCAGGAAAGCAAAATGTTCAATCTGGTGGCCAGCAATTTGAGAGGTGGCCCATGAATTTGGTACCCAAGTAAGAGCATCACCAAGAGGCAGTTATCACAGTTTGGCACTTCCCCTTCACACTAAAACTTGTAATTTATTTGAAACCAAAGCAGGCAAAGGCAATCCTGGACGACAGCTGTACCACAGACCCTTCTCACTTCCCACAGCCTTGGCCTGGTGGGTTTGTGGCAGCACTGAAGGAGGTAACTCACCCTGACCCCACTGCAGTGCAGGGGAGCAGGGCCAGGGCATCACTGCAAACCCAGGTCCTGCCTCTGTACAGTTCCTGAAGTGACTTTGGGTGAGTTGTTTTGCTGCCCGTGTTTCAGTTTACCCTTTGTCAAATGAGCCAAATGTCAGTGCTTTCTGGTGTAAAGTAAGAGCTAGAGCAAAGCAGGGCTGCTGAAAAGAGAGACACATTTTTTACGGAGGACTGAGGACAGACTAATGTGAAAAATAATACCTGCTGCTCTCCTAAGCAAACATCTACTAGCACTTGCCTGTCATAACTAACACAGTGTTACTAGTATGCTGACATTGAGTTTCTCTGGTTTTGTTTCTCTCCCAAGTGAACTGCTTTTCTTTTTCCTCCGTGGCTGCAGCCTGGGATGTGGGAGGCTGCAGCCTCTGGAGCGCTGGGTGGGACCCCCTGCCCTGCCCCCCTCCCCAGGCACTCACCGGTTTGAGATAAGCCACGTTACTCTGGCGAATGTCATTTAGCAGCTGATCTCTCGGGGTTATTTCCACCAGGGGTGGTGGCCTTCTCCTGGGAACTGGTTTGAGGGTTTTAATGACATCTTTGAGGTTGGTTTTCTCGGCAGGTTCCACGTACTCTGGCACAGCGGGTTTGCGCTGGGTCTTCTTCAGCTTGACCACCCTGAAGCTGCCGGGCTCCTCCCTGCGTGGCTGCTCGGGGGGCAGCTGCCTCGTGTTCTCCTGCCTTTTGCTCAGAGACACAGCTGCAGGGACGGGTGGTTTTGGGGCTCGTGGGGGTTCGTGCATCATCGGCTGGGGCAGTGGCCCCCCCAGCATTTCCCACATCCCAGGAGGCAACCCAAGTCCATTTTCCAGCATGGCTATCAATTCCCTCTGCTCCTTCATTTGCTGCTGCCTCTGTTCCTCTTGCCTCTTTTGCCTCTGCTTGTCCAGGTTTCTGCTGAGCAGGTTGGTCACCACCATCCTGGGCCCTGGCAGTTCAAAATGATACCCCATTTTAAGGAGGGTGGAGTTGGCTTTCAGCAGCCTGGCGATCTCCATTTCTGCCTGGTGGCCCAGCATGCTCCTCTGGTTGTGAAAGCGAAGCTCCGTCAGCGTCTCGTTGTACTGCAGGCACCTCATGATTGCAACGATCCCTTTGCCAGAGATGAAGTTGGAGTCAATGTTCAAGGTGGTGATGCTCCTGTTTTCCCGCAGCATGTTGGCTGGGGGGGTGGCCCCCCCAGCATTTCCCACATCCCAGGAGGCAACCCAAGTCCATTTTCCAGCATGGCTATCAATTCCCTCTGCTCCTTCATTTGCTGCTGCCTCTGTTCCTCTTGCCTCTTTTGCCTCTGCTTGTCCAGGTTTCTGCTGAGCAGGTTGGTCACCACCATCCTGGGCCCTGGCAGTTCAAAATGATACCCCATTTTAAGGAGGGTGGAGTTGGCTTTCAGCAGCCTGGCGATCTCCATTTCTGCCTGGTGGCCCAGCATGCTCCTCTGGTTGTGAAAGCGAAGCTCCGTCAGCGTCTCGTTGTACTGCAGGCACCTCATGATTGCAACGATCCCTTTGCCAGAGATGAAGTTGGAGTCAATGTTCAAGGTGGTGATGCTCCTGTTTTCCCGCAGCATGTTGGCCACTGCAAAAGCCACGTTGTCATCAGCCCCCACGTTGGCCAAGCTGAACGTTTTGATGTTCTTATTCTTTTTCATGGCGTTGACAAAGTCTATCAGCATTTCTTTGGGGACGTTTTCTATGTTGTTCAGGTTGAGCTCCTTCATGTCTGGGTTGTTTTTCCGGACTTTCTCCAAACTCTCTTCTAAATTGGTTTGATTTCCTGAAGGCCTGGCACTTATTTTCATGAAGCTGGTATCCAGCGCTAACTTTTTGGGGATGTTTAATTTTGAAATTTTCTTCTCATTTTCATTTGGCTTTTCTGTGACTTGTCCAGGTTCTGTACCTGGTTTCTTATTTATCTGATTGCTGAGATGGTTTGCGTTGGTGTAAGCCTCCTTTCTTTCTGATTCAGTCTTGTCTTCCTCTTCCTTCTCTGCTTCTTCCTCCTCCTCCCCCCTCTCCCTATCATTTCCATTTTTGTTTGTCTCCCCACGTTGTGCTCCTGAGTTGGAAAAGTGCTCGTTTTTGTAATGCCTCTCCCTTCCCTCTGCTCCTGGCACCCTCCCGCTGGCCGCCTCTCCACTGCCGCTGGCCTTGCCCTCCGGCTCCTCCTCAGCACTTCTCTGAGAAAGACAAAAACTCACAGCTGAAATAATTGAACACAGCTTTGCTGCATGAGCTTTCTGCTCAAATAAACACATAGTGGCTTGTTTTGGATACCTCTGTGCCCAGACATTGTAGAATAATCCTTAGGAGTGTCATGACCTGTATGCCAGGGTCATTCTGGCTTCCTTGGGAATCAGGAATGATTGCTCTTAAAAGCAGCTGCAAACCAAGTTCTCATCTTTGTTTATTAAATTAAACCCTGACAATTACATCCTGTACATATTTCATGCTATGCTCAGGTGGCCTTTGAACCCTTCTAGGGGTTAACAGTGTCTCATCCAAAGTCTGTTTTCTGGATTTTATGTCACTTTTATTGTTTTCTTGAGCAGAGAGGAAGTTTGTTTGTATGTCACACAGCACTGGGAATCAGTTCCAACTTCTGACTGTTTCCTCAGCCCAAGGGGGAGCAAAGAGGGCACATGGTAACACCAGAGGAGTCACCCAGCATGTGAGGCAAGGCTGCCTGCTGTGGTGCCTGCCAGAGCATCACAGCTAAGAAAGCACAACACTGAGGGAAAGCAAAATATTAGCTCAGTTTTATTTTCAGCCCAGAGATAGGAAACTGGGCTCTGCTGTAAAGCAGAGGGGGCTTCCAGTATCACAATAAAATCAGTTGCAAACTTTCACCATCTCCAGAGACCCTCCTAACTGAGAAGTTTTTTCCAAACATCTTTTTTTTTTTTTTTACTGGATCCTTCATCACTGAGAGATGCTTATAAAGTGCTAATAAATATCAAGTTATTCTCCTAAAATATTTGCACAAGTTCAGGCAGGGCAATGTCATGGCTTGGGCTGCAACAACAGTCAGGCAAAATAGTGACAAAGTCACCTCTGCCCTTGGGGCTGTGCTTCCTATTTGCTGTGGCAGTGGATGGGTTTAGAATGGGGACTGCTTGACCAGCTGTGAATGAAGCAGGCAGCTCTACACTCAAATACCAGATTTAACTTCAGAAGTCTTCTAAAAAAACTGTTTCTTTGAGGATAACAGTATTGTGGGAGAGGAAAAAACCACAGATTTCTCCCTCTCTGCAGAGACAGCCCATGAAACCTGCCCTGGGCAGTCCATGATGTACTGGGCTGCTGTGTATAAGAAAAGCCATTCATGTTTAAAAAAAAGACAAAACAACAAAAAATAAACAACCAAAAATAAGTTATCTCAAATTCACTTGAGTTCAGGTACAGATTAATTTAATCTAGCCAAGTTTCCATTCTATTAGCCTATTTTTAAGTGTGCCTCTCATCTTGAAAATACCTATGACCTTAACTTTATTTCAAAGTCATAGGGATAGCAAAATAAATTTAAGTGCTGTGTTGAAAAGGGTTGGACTAGTTAATGGAATTTGCATGCTTGGTTGTTAGTGAGTGTTTCACATTGTTAAATGGTGTTGGGGGTTTGGCCAGTATGACATTAAATTCTGCTAATTAGTTTAATACATATTATTAATGTAGTCTTCTAGGGAAAAGCAATACTGTGTTGGGCTGTATGCAAAGTCAAACAAATTTGATTTACATCCTCCAAATTGATTTTATGATGATTTCTCAGTGATTTGCTTTATGGAAACCGAATTAGGTGTTTTGGTTTTTTTTCTTCTTATATTGAAAATCTTTAAGTAAATATTTGGGAAAAGCAATTAGAAAATGACTAAACCTGATGTCAGGCCAGGCTGGATCCTGACGTTGCCAAGGCTTTTAGGATGATTTTAAATTTGTTTGTGCTGTACCTTATGTCCGGGACAGCAGCAGGTTAAGGTATTAAAGCTATAAAACAGATCCCACAGCAAATGCATTATAAATATTTGTGATTTTTTGCATGTTACCTCAGAGGGCAAGAGGGTGACAGGAACTCTCTCATCCTCGAGCATGCGTCTGGATGCCTTCTGCCAGTACAGGTAGTCAACCAGGGACCTGTGGTCGAAGCTTCCTGTAGGGGGTTTCTCCGTCTGATCCTTCTGTATCATCCCAATTGGAAGTTGGGGGTCTGGGGCCATGACTTCCATCTCACACTGCAGCTCCTTTAGCTCCTCAGGGGACAGGTTGGCCAGGATTTCATCCTCATCGATGTCTTCAGGGCACACCTCTTCATCAGAGTTTTGGCTGAATTCAGACATGTTCTCTCCTCTCCCCTTCCTCTGTTCTTTTTAAACCTAACAAGAAAGATAAATTTTAAGGGATTTTTACTTTTCCCTCCTTCACGAGCAGCAGTTAAATCGACAGCTTCATGTTTTGCTCACGAGCTGCAGCAGCACTGGGGCTCAGTGCGGGAGGCAGGCAGTGCAGCCCAGTCTATATTAAGCTGCACTTGGCTGGATAAAGAGAATTTATGGTGATGCTGCCGTGCTCCGTTTTCAGCGACCTGTCAGCTGTGCAAACCCTTCTGACATTTCAGTGCAGCTGGTGCCTCCCCATTGAGCGAGGCTGGACCGGCCGTTCCTAGAGGCCTCGCAGTGTGTCTGGGGGCGTGGAGGGACCTCAGGGGAACCTGCAAGGTGTGCAGGAAGAATCAGCACAAGGGTTCTGTACCCATCATGTCTCAGGGAACTCAGAATGGGTGGGGACTGCAGACTGTTTGCTGCCTCTAGCCGGGCCTACAGCCTGACTGAACATTGCAGGCGGTTCGGTGGGAGCGCGGCCGTCGCGCAACTGATGAGCTCTCCCAGACGCCAGATCCTGGTTAAGGTAAAAGTTCTCCAAAGTGGAAAATGGCAAGTGAACAATTGGCACAAGGTACACATTGTGCTTGGGGACAGGGAACCCTGTGGGGATGGGCACCAGCTCTTTGAACCAGCCTGGGCAGCCCCACAGGGAATGTTTCCCACGGCACATCCATGGCTGCTCCCAGCCAGCCCACCCCAAGGCAACACCAACGCTCTGTACCTTGGGTGGCCTGGCTCTGTTGTGGACATTATTTGTCTTGTTGACAGAACTTGGCTGACAGTTGATCCTAGATTCACCCCTTCCCAACTTCCTTTTTTTTTTTTAACAATTAATAATTAACTACAATGATTTACTTTGCTAATATTCGTAGAGTTGATTTAACTGTAGAAGATCACCTGACATCCTTTTTTTTCTAACTTTATCCATTCCAGTTAAGAAGTACCCCCTTCTCTGTTCAGAATATCTCATAGGCTTCTAAATTCAACATGGCAAACCAGAAAGAAATTTGGTGATAAATGCACCCCTGCCATAGGAAAGAAACCACAAAGGAGAGGCTGTGAAAACAAGCCCCACTGATTTTTTTAAACCACATTTCTTGTTACAGCCTCAACCATGCTCTGCTGGAGTCTGCCAGCAGCAGCACAGTCTCTGCATGATCATGGTCCTTCTTCACTGTGTTCAGAGCCCTTTTAACCTCTATTAAAAAGCCATAAACCAAAGGTCCTAATTTAATTAATGCTGTTACATGGCGGGGAAGAGGGGAAAAAGAAATAAGACTGAATAAGTGAAGGAAGGAACAACTAAACCCCAAGCCAAGAACATAACAACTGTTTGCCTCGTTGATATTTCAGGGGACATCCTTTTTTTATATTATGCAGTAGCAAGCACAACAGCAGACCCACACATCAATCTACCTGGACTAGCAGTTTTAACCCCCAGTGATTGCTGTCCATAATAGAGACCATAAATGGTTTCCTGAGGATACCAAATAAATCAATGCCCTTCGGTAGCTGGTATGCTATTCTCCCAAGCGATGCTGTTTGGATCACAGAAGCTGTCTATTCAGTGGTTACTTATCACTTGCTAATTTCTTGACTGTAAATAAAGCCCCTGGCCACCTTCTTATATTTCTGTGATCTTCAGCAGGCTCTCTTGGGCCATGGTCTTGTCAGATCTGCTAAGCTAAGTAGGGTCAAACTTATGAAGTCCTCTTGAGAAGCAAAACAGAGACCCTGAGAACACTCATGTATCTGAAAAGCAAATTTTCTTCAGAGTAGAAATGTATCACTTGTCCATACCACGAGTGGGAAACACTACACTTCTGGGAGCAATGCCTTCTCCATCAGGCGCAGAGCAAAGAGCTGCCTGGTGGCAACTCTCTCAGTGGCACAGGTGTTAATCCCACAGATTCCCAAGGTGGGTATCACATTTTGCCTTCTTTAGGTTTCCTCCATAAATTACCTCAAGTACAGCATTCACTTCCCTTTCTAACATGTTGCATAGTGTTTTGGTGCACTGCAAACAGCACACTGAGGCAACAAAAAGCACCCTGCAGGCTGGGGACACGCTCATGGAAGTCCTTTCCAAAGCAAAACTCCAATCTTCTTCCCAACGACATTTGCGATGGTTCTCCTTGGACCTCTCCAAAATAGTTGCTCATTCCTCAACCTTTATTAAGACAGGAAAGCCACTTCCATCAGTAGCACTTGCTATTTTCATGCCAATTTGACACTTGCTCAGGAATCCCCAGACTAATAAGCTGCTGGACGAGGTGCTCCGTTACCAAACGTGGAGCTGTGCCAGCAGCTGCGCTCAAAGCACGAGCAGAAGACATGAGGTACCTGCAGTGACCGCAGAGTGAGCCCTATGGGTTGCAGCTCAAAATTCATGCTAAGTAGGTACCTAACAAATGTTGAATAAAAGTACTTTGGGAGCAAACTGATAGAAGAAAAGGTACGCCCTTGGCAATGAACCATTCATACTGTTCCTACAGCAGGTCCTGGCTTTTGGATGAACTCTTGCATGAAAAGCAGGCTCTTGTTTCATTTCATTGATTTTTCTCATTTGTGCATTTTCTTCAAAACTTCCAACCTATCTCTCTTGAGAGCAGAAGAGTTGACAAGAGTTGACAAGAGGAGCTGGCTCCTGTGTCACCATTTGACACAAAGCTGGCCATCAAACCCTGCTTAAAGTGCCTAAAACGTGTTCTATTTTTAAGATCATTGATGGGACACATGCTGACGGTGCCAAATGCTTGAGAGCAATTTCTGTAACATTTGCTTTCATCTTTTTGCTTATAAAACTCCTGCTTTTACTTCCCTGTACTACCCATCCATGGCATTTCCATGGTATGAACTGGAACGAGTCTGAGTGTAACATAACCTTGCATCATTTTTGAGAAGCTCGTTGACTTGATGGGACAGTCTAAAATTGACAAGCAGTGGCATACACCAAGTATGCCCAGCAGTGCAGGGTAATGCAATATGGGGATTATCAAAGGGTCAGATGATGGGATCTCAACAATAACAACCATTAAGTAACGAGAGCAATCATAGAGAGACACCCTGTGGGAAAAACACCAGGGATCATCTCAGGAGAAAACCCAACCCACCACACCTCCAACCTGATCCAGATATAAATATATCGGATTAAATTTGTTGCTTAAATAGATTAAGGACATCTGACTTTTGAGGTATTTGCCCAGGTTGATTGACAGGGAGCTGCAAAGCCAAGTCCCCGTGTCACCAAGTGGGCATGGTGGTTGCTGGTGTGGGGACAGGGGCACGAGCATGTCCAATGTAGCAACTGTTTACTAGTAACTCTACCTTTATTCTTACAATTTATGTCTCTGGGTTTTGTGAGGAGCCTCAGGAGCAACAAAATCCTCACACTAAAACCAATAGCTGGCATAAACTTCAAAATGTCCTTTCCCTTTGGCAACCAAATGTATAATTGTCAAATCTGAACTGTCTTAACACAACGTTAAGGACTCTTGGAGGAGCGACAGCCATCACCACCACCTTTTGAACAAGTGATTGCCCCCACGTTGACATGAAATGCTGAATTCAGCACAAGCCAGACTAGATATGATAAGAAATGGAGTCATTTCAAGAAACAATGTCACTCTTCACATTAAACATAGGGTGTATCTTTCTTCCACAGCATTCAAACCTCTCACAGCCCCATACCTCGTATCATCCTGCCACTAGAACATGTCCATGGGCAATGGTGTTGGCAAGACCACGTGCAGATTTCATTATGTATGTGCAGGGCACGTCCTTCCCTAACCTCAGCCTGGGAACAGGTGGAAGGGTTTCTTCTAGAGTTACTCCAGCTGAGCCCTGGCTGGCTGCAAACTCTTCTCCATCTGCAGCTCTTCGATGGCACTCTAACAGTAAAATACAACTTGAGACAGGCAGGAGATACTCTGGGAGACACAGTACATCCCTCTGCAGCCAAGGACTTGCTGAAGGATTTATGGTGATTCCCTTCATGAGGGACAGACATGGATAATGAAGTTGGATGGTTGGGAAGGAGCTGTTTCTTGGTTAAAGGTCATGCTGCTTTTCCATGAAGGCCCTGATGTGTGTCCTGTGTCCTCCTGAGCCACCAGCACCAATCACGATTCACACCATCCCATTTTCCAAGGACGAAATGTTACATCAGGTCTGACTTGCTGCATCAGGGTGTGGGGCAATTGTGTTCCACGATACATTCTGTCCTGGGAGATGATCCCTGTGGTCCTGAACCCGTGTCTAACAGCTGTGATGGGAAGGGGAAAGTCTGGTCAGATAAGGCAGGGGTTGTGCACCTGAAAGGTGTCACCACCTTTACCAGCTGGTAGAGCAGGCACCACAGTGATGCTGGGAATGGGTGAAAAAGAGTCATCTTTGGAAAGCTCAGCCAGACACTATGGACAACACAAGGTCACTTGGCCAGTTTGTAACAGGAGAGACAGCAAGTGGAGTAGAGAGTTAAACAGGAGGGAAAGGGGTGGATGACAATACAACTAATGTACAACTGCGTTTTCTTCCTCTGTCCAGGCCCATGGAGGAATCAACCCTGAGGTCCCACCCTGTAGGTCTCAATGCTGAGGTCAGGCTTGGTGAATGACCAGAGCCTCCAACGTCTCAACCTCCTGTTGGTTCAGGAGAGCACCAATTCTGGAATTACCAGCCACAGTAAAATCCATCATACAAAGTTTGTACCTGAAAACAAACAGATACCACACACAGCCTCATCCCTTCCCCTGGGAACACCATCCCTCCTGGGACAAAGTTCCATTTCCTCAGCACTTGTGAAACAGCAAACATCTGCCTATGCTGAAGCTCCCAGCTTTCTACCTTAGAAGTGTAATAACTATGATAGAAGGGCTCAAGGGAGATGGAAGCACAGTGTGAAAAGCAGAGATCTTCCTAGGAGAGTATTAACTTACCCAGAAAGTGCCAGGCAA